CCCCAAAACCCCAAAACCCCTTAAGTTAAGATTTAGACAGAAAGAAGTTTTATGAATTGATCTTAAATTTATATTGATATATAGAAACTTTTATTAGTAAGTAAGATTAAGCCTAAATATTCCAAGCATATCTCGGCCAAAAATGAAAAATCAAGAATAACTCCTACTTAACAATTCAAATTGCGAAAAAAAGTGCATGTATATACTTAATTTATTCATTGAACAATATTTTAGATGGAAACTTTAGAAAAACACAGATCAAATGCTCCTTTAATAATAAAGATCTAATCAAGATCCTAACCAAAATCATGATTACATTGATGAGAATCAAATTAAATGTTGCCAAAATCTTTTCAATTACAACAGCTTAAATCTTCTTAACTAACAGAATTAAAAGGAAGAGTTCTCATTTTATCCATCTGAAGTAAAATGCTTTGTAGTATCATTAGTCTCTGCTTAAAAATATTAAGACAGCCAAATAAATATGATTAAGAATTAAGTATTATCATATTCAAACAGCAGGAAAAGGTAAATCTTTTTCTAACAAAAAAACCAGTAGATGAGCTACCTCTAGGTAGATAAGGGAAGAGATTTAAATAATTTTATTGCAAAAGAAGAAGAGATTTAGATATAATCTCCTTCAATTAATGAAAATTTCAGTTCGGACGGACGGTTTTTACCATCATTCAATATTGATAGTAATTAGAAAGAGACTGAAGTCAATAAATACCAATTGTAAGGGTGTTCAAAAAACAAATAAAATAATGAGACTCTATATAAAAATACATTTGCTAAGAAATGAAATACTAAAGAAAAAATCTTCGAATGTTAAGCTTGTAATGTCAAAGTAACTAGAAGGGACAACCTATTAAAGCATATTAATAACATACACAAAAAAGTTAAACGATTTTAATGCAATATCTGTATGAGGAAATTTTCTGAAAAAGGCAACTTGTGAGTTCATTCCAGACTTCATTCAGGAATAAAACCTTATAAATGCGACTTATGTGAATAAACCTTCACAACAAGAGGAAATTTAATAGATCATTAAAATAGGCTGCTAAAGAAGACGTAATTTATCATAACATTTATCAGATTTAGGGATTTTGAGTGTTAGATTTGCTTTAAAGGCTTTTATCGTAGATTTGAATTAAATAGTCACATAAAAATGAAGCATTTGAATTCAAAAAATGATTAAATGATGCAAAATAAAAGACTAGCACAAGATGCTGATATTGACTATGACAAGGAAGTATTGAAGTCTTTCCTCAATAAGTTCATTCAATGCCACTAAAAGGAATTCTTTTGAAAAATGGCACAAATTTACCTATAAATAAACTCATACTTAAAATAAAGAGTGTAAAAAAAAAAATTATTTATTAGCTTAATAATTTACTCAACCTACATTAATAGTGATTATGTTTAGTGGGGTTTTGGGGTTTTGGGG